ACCTACCTCCCATCTAATCACTACTCCGTACACTTAGCTTAGTCAAAAATGTTTGATACACAAAATGAATTAGAATCACAAGTAACTACTATATAAACATCTCATTATGTATGAAACCTCAAGGAAGTCGTATGAATTGAAAGTTATAGCAATTATTTTCTTCTATATAAGATTACACATAGAAGACTGATTTATTTTGTGACGACCGGATGCAAAGCTAATCTACATGAAATGGTGCTCAAGCTAGCAAAAAACTATCAATCAATAATAAAACGTTTCATACTCTCCCGAAACATCATCACGAGCATCAGCCAATATGAATATTGTGCCTATCTCTCTGCCCGACTACTCGGTAGGAGACCAAGACAAACTATTTGATCTGAGACTGAAGGGACTAGTCGCTGATAGAGCACATCGCATTCTCTTGCGAGCACCATCCAATCCTTCATCACCAGTACGTTTGTTGGGTTGTTGAGGGGTTGTTTGAGTAGGTCTTCTTGGTGAACTTCGCAACTTCTCGCTATGCAAGCTTCTCCATGAACTAGGGGTCTGAGTACTGCTTCCTTCACTTTGCAAGCCACTTCTGATTGAACCGTCAGGTCGACGAAAACGACGAGCAACTGGTGTAAGTTGGGTCTTTTCAAAGGATTTATGGGTCAAATCGGGTTTCGGAAATGCTGTAGCAAACTGTAATGCATTAGAACTTTTCATTTGCTAAGACGAAGGAGTACGGTACTCACAGGCTTGGTATGAGAAATGTGTTTAGATGGATCAAACAATTCCTTTCGAAGCTTCTTGAGGTCGGAGAATCGAAATGGCTCGTTAGAGGACTTTGGACATTTCTTAATAATACCTTCGGTTTTCAAAGACTCAAATTCTTCCTGCGTCTTTTCCAAGTTCCAATCTAGAGCCGTGATTAGTGCTGCACAAATGTTCCTTGAAGCAACATACTCATGTACTGGCAAAGACCCTCCATGTCATTGAAACCATGTTGCTCGAGATAATATACCATTCGTCTGCGGAGACATAGGGGGTACATCTTCTGATAAAGAATTCCTTTCTCCGACACTTCTAATAGGCAGTAATAGCACTTAAAATCCTCGCTGTCACTTCCCTTGCTGTAGCCATAGCACTGACTGTGAAAAAAATTCCTACAACTTTCACATTGAATCTTTCTACAAATTAGAGCATGCAAACGAAGATAAGGGCTGACATACCAAATTTTCACGGTCTTCATAATTAAGACACTCGCACCGTACCTCCTCCTCCTCCTCCTCTTCTTCTTCCAACTCTCTCTCAGTTAAGTTTTGATTGACCTCTTCTCGTCCAAGAAATGTCGTATGCTTTCCAAAGGTAGTTGGCTGGCAGGCGGGTATCAGTTGTGTGTCCATGTCGTCAGGTCTTTTTGCGTGTCCCTTAATTCGTAGTCAAATTAGTATATCAACTAAACAACATATTTTTTATACTGATGATAACCTACAATCTGTTTGATCCATTGCATTGTGCTCTGCTGTGTATCAACGCTCTGTGATAAATGACTATGTCGCAATGATGACTGACTATTGTCATCGATCATCACATTTGTCAGTGGTGTTGTGGATGTGAGATCTCTAACCGTTGCGACATGTTTTCGATTGGAGGTTATCTTCGCATCATTCAAAGCTGTTGCTTTTGGAGAGTGGATATCGATGGCTGGGGCATCATAGTACTTTATCTCAAGCCTATCAAAGTTAGAACTATTGTAAAGTCTTGGATATCGCAATGTTATACCCATGAATACCGTTGCTTGTTTGGCCCATGAGAATTCCACAACCATCAGGAAGTATCTGAGATGTTGGCGAAGCACGAAACCCTCGATATTCATGCTTAGGGCGTGGATTGTCATTGTACAGCAATTGCATGCTCACTTTGCGTCCAACTGTATTTATGTTTAGCGGGTGTGAATGAATGTTTGATGGTATGAACTTACTCGATTGGCCTTGGAGATTTCGAGAAGTATTCATAACTTGTCGAATCAAGTCCCTTAGTCCCTTCTGTGCCAATCCTAAATTGATGGTACTTCCATTCTTATTCGACAAAGAAGCAGACATTTGAACATGGGGGTTTTTTTCAACATCTTCGTAAGTGAAATATATGGTGAATGCTTCAACGAGCTGTTCGGGGACAACTTCTTTTCGATAAACGGAAAGTTGGAATTTTGCCAAACATTTATCGCTTACAGCATCCCCAACTCCAAACTCCTGAGTGTTGATTAGTTAACCACTGTATGAGATACTAGAATATGGTAAAATACCAGCCAATCGAGAAGTTTCTCTGCGCCAGGATGGCCTGTTCCTCGCACAACGGAACTGAAGGCAACAATCTCATCGCCAGCTTCATTCAGGTTGAAATTCTTGGGCATGTTTGTTCCATTAATAAACGTTTCGTAGGTAAGGTTTGGATCGGAAGCATTGTAGATTCGGGTCTTGTAGCAATTATTGGGAAATAATTGCCTACCAAAGAAAAACTGGCTGACCTGAGAAGCGTTCATTAGCGAAAGGACAAAAGTAAGAGGAGCCGAGGATACACACAGCAGCATTGACAGCGATCTTAACCAACTCGAAACTTTGTTGTTGGTTAAGTACAAGTTCTTGTACTGTCTTAGGAGCTTCCACGGGAGCTGTCGCCTTACCCTTACCCTTCTGCTTCGCCTGTGTTTGTGGTTTTACCGGTGGTTTAACACGGACAGGACGATCAGATTTTGGATGCAGCTTTGGTGGCATAGTGAAGCGCACTGATGAAAAAGATTGTTGGAGAATTAAGGATAGAGAGAGCTGTATGAAACACAGGTTGAAAGTGTAGTTCAACTTTCGATCAATCACAATTCAACCGTTCATTAAAGCTCTGAGGCTTGCTGGAATCCCCCTCGCGAAAAACTGGGAAAATCCAATGCAAGGCGATGTAGAGGAAGAGAAGCGTGGCGAGTAAATGAGTGAATACTAGGTAATTTTCGACTGATGCTTGTACGGAAAAGACGAAATAAGATGACAGGGAATTCATTCAGAGATGATATTCCATTCAACGTTTTGATGAACGAGGATAGAAATAATTAATTGAAAGTGAAAGTGTTTGTGGGGAGTCGACGGAGAAGAGAATGACTAAGGGAATGGGGCGAGAGACAGGTAGGTAGGTAGTATATGATAGTAGAATGTTACATGTAGACAGAAAAGGAAGGCGCGCGCCTCTCACTCTTCTTGACCTCCCTCTCAACCCTCACCCAAGTAGTAAGCAGAATCTGAGATGAACTTAGTGTTACCTAGTCCAGTCCGATTATCCCCAGGAGGTATTTGAGGATTCGAAGAGACAAGAAATAAACCCTCGTATCTCATCAATTTGCTAGGTGAGGTACTTCGAAATCTTCTATATACTTACTACCTACCTACCTACCTACCTAGCGTGCAAGTCAAAGATTCGTGCACTCTATACCTTTACACGACTTCAACCTCTGACCTCGATACTCAAGGTCGTCGACGGCTTCAATAGGTAGACATACTCAAGAATCAGTCCACAGATGAATGTTCTCATGATTGATCCATAGCTTCTACAAAATCAACTTGGCAGTTCAACATTCCATACCTTTCACGTACTCGCTGGATAGATATATATCTACCTTTCATTTTTGGAGCACTATGAATCCTTAAACTTTTAAATGATACATTGCATTGCCAGATATTCCACACCAGGAATCCATTCTCCAGGAGCCACTATAACAGCCACCATACAACACTTGGTCTCGGGATATCATGCGAACTATCTGAATAAGCTTGCCATTTTCCTCGAGTATAATCTCGTTCGGTTTATCAAATTCTCTTCCATCGATATTGTTCTGAGAAACTCTCATTCTAGCACTTGTAGAATCTACAGAGCCCCCTAGTCTACCCTATTTCCTTTGAACGACTCTCGGCAGAGTTCACAATATCCCTCTATATAGGTAGGTGTTACATCACATACAAAGACTCCCCTACAAGAGCGAAGCGAAAACGGCCTCCACGGCAGTGGCCCAGCGGAGCGTCATTCATTATCTCATCCATCCATGTATTCTCACATTACTCATGCCAGCCTCTACTCAAACATATGAAGCTTCAGCGGCTCGACGCTCATGGTATCAATAAACTGAACTGCTTGAAATATCAGCTGAATTGACGCTCCCCTGACCCTCTGGGGCTCCGTCCGTGGAGACTAAAGATGTGTAATGAAACAATTTCTGGTTGAAAGCCACATCAATATCAACCATTCAATGCCAGTCTACCTTTATAGCTACCATATTATCCATTTGGTAAATATTTAAAGCCCTTAGAGACAGATCTCATGACTTGAGGCGAGGGGGAATGCATTGTTGTGTGCTTGTAAGCTTACATACCTAGATATGGAATACTCAGTGTCGTATAATCCCTCTTGTGGCGGGCTCGGCACATATGGTAATGTTTTGTAGTGCGGAGTTCTACTTAGTACTTACTCAGAAATCGAGTCGTTTGAGATGGCAAATTCAAACTATGACGATTTACCATGAAAATCATCATGGGCATTTTGAAAGTAAGTTGGGCTCGCCTCAGGTAAATACACAGAAGTTCTCCGACTAGAAGATCTCCTTTTTTCGATTGTAAGATTACCAAGCAGAGAAGGAAAGAAAGAAACCCTCGATACTCCATTGCTCATGCATTAATATGTAACAGTGTGTGATGTATGATATGTACATATAAAAGACATCAGATAGAAAATCTTACCTCTTTCTCGTTACAACAAGGGGCACGAAAACCCGAGTGTAAAAGGATAGATGGTGAGAGATTGTGGCGACGATACTGTACAGTAAGTCAAGATTCATGAGGGCCCCGTTTTTTGTAGATACAAATATCCTGGTAATATGTAATCCGTATAAGTTTGTAATCTTAAATACAAATATAAATATAAATATATTGAAATGAATGAGAATGTGATGTTGACGTTCCATTTGGCTGACTCCGCCTTCCTGTCCTGCCCTTGATAAAATATTACATAGCTGAGTAGTACCTAGGTACCTAGGTACCTACTACCTATCTACCTATCTACCTATTCTCGCCATTGAACAGTGAAGGCAATGAATGGATGAGCATTCTTGTCCAGAACCGCTTAGTAAAAAAAAGTTAAACCCCGGCGAAACAAACCATACACGAACCGATCTATCTCCACCTTCCACTTTCCATTCACCACCACCAATACACGCGCTGAGATAAATCTTCGCAGTACTTCATTTCTCTCACGCAGAAAAGAATCTATTTCTCCCCTTCTCTTGTACATTCTTCCTCTTTCTCTTTATTTGCAGTAATATAATAGTCTCCACTCGCCAACTTCATATTGTCTCCCCAAGGTTCTTCTTACACGTTGCCCCCGATTTCATACTCTGCAGATTGTCTGTCATCTGTGTCGATTCCATATCTCCAATACCCCCACCACGACCACGATAATACTTTTCAACGTCGATTAATTTGGCTATGTTATCGTTGGAATCATAGGATACTAGGGGTTGTTTTAAAGTTGCGATATACTCGCGTGTGGTCAGCCTCATATCAGGAACGCGTACGGCTTATTGGAGAGGGGCAGGCTGGAACTTTTGCTTAAAGTCTCGAACTCATCTGAGCACTCGAATTTCAACGAAATGGATCCTCCTCATAGACCGCAGAGTAAACATCGAACGCTCTCCCAAAGTACTCAAATGTCTGGAACACCAAAATTCAAACCCGACGCCTCTTCGAGTCCGTTCATTTCGAATTCGAAGTTGTTGCAGCATAGTGTCGAGACTCGACATCCAAGTCAGACCGTTTCTTTAGGATGGCAAGATGGAGACGATACAGTTGGACATGCATCGAGATTGCAAGTTGAGTTGGAAGATATTATAGAAACGAAAACCGTTACAACAACCACTACAACCAAGCGATCCTATCCTCCACTACTCTTCCAAAATCCTCGACCACTCGATAGCCTTGACGCCAAGGAATATCCTCTAGCATTCAAACCGACTCCTGCCGAGCTGACTAGGTTTTCATACGAAATTGATGGACGACAAATGGAATATGAGGAAGATAATCTGCGAAGTATTATGCACGAGGTCCGAAGTTTTTAATTTTCTTGTACGCTTTTTTTGAGATTTCACATTACTAATATTCGAAAATCTCCAGAATTCACAAATCGAATCTCTTCACAACTCTTCTTCGCGCTATCGATCGAAAGAGAATCGAGAACAGTTCAAAGATGGATTAGCTAGAACAGACAGAATGATCAAGCTCGATGCGGAAAGTAGCAACTTGAGAAGAAGGTGTTCGAAATCGAAAGGAACATCCGATCATCGACCCGCCAGCAGACCCAGCAGTTCAAAAGCACCAGAAGTTTCCAATAACGAAGTTAAAAATGTAGGCTCGACTGCTCAACCCGAAATTCGACGTCGAAATCATGGTCTTGGTATGCACCTACCCGAATTGCCAGTGACTCCCGATTTATCCGAAGTAGAGCTATCCTCAAGGGATGTTCCTTCATCAATCTCTCGATTTCAAACCAATGCATACACCCCCCAATCCGGTCTAAGCCAAAATAATTCGTTCGAGAATTCAGAAAGTCATTCGGAAACTGTTAATGAAGAAACATTTAATAACGCAGTTGCTACACCCCCAATTGCAGAATCTGATCTGGAGTCGGCTGGTCTTGATACAAACTTTGCACAAGGCCAGCGCCCACATTTGAATACTGCAATTGCTCAAAACGCAAGCCTACCTAGTCCCGGTCTTTCGCCTACCCCAACCTCTCCTGAATTTGACAACGATGATACAGGCGACAGTCAGGAGACATTAGATGAGTACGCTAGTCAGTTACCTCAGTTAAGTACGACTCGAGATCGGCAGATTAAACCTACAGGATTACATTCACAAATTTCTACCGTCATGGAGATTGGTTCTATGCTGGATACTTTCGATGCGATGCCAAGCGAATTGAAGGCCCTGGTGATGTATCAGCTTAGTAGAAGGTGCTCCAGGAAAACCTTACGGGCTGTTGCAGGTTTCGTAAATCCTGCTTTGATGTGCGATTTCCTTGATGAACTTCCTGTTGAATTAAGCCTACATATCTTGAGTTACCTGGACCATCAAGACCTTTGTCGTGCCGCACAAGTTTCGAAGCGTTGGAGAAATGTTATTGACTCGAACGAAACTGGATGGAAAGAACTCTTTGATCGTGATGGCTTTACACTCCAACCTGAAGAACTTGAGCGAGCAATACGTCAAGGCTGGGCATGGCAAGACCCTTATGGACCGGATGGTTATGAAATGGATTTGAGCAGTAAAGACAAATCACTCAACCTGGAAGTAAACACGCCTAGTAGTAGCAGCAGCAAGATTGACACACTTAGAAGACCTCGGGCTACCATTAAAAGAAAGCGAACTACTGGAAATTCCGGATCGGAACGCGCGAAGAGACGAGCGATAGGTAATGAAGTTTCAACCAAAATCTTAGAACCGGCATCTAGATTTCATAAATCTGAAGGTCCACTAAGCGCTGCTTCTGCTGCTGCATTGGCAGTACCAAATCCCGAATTAGGTCTGCCAGGATTACGAAAACTTCATCTCTTTAAATCTCTTTATCGCCGACACTTTCTTCTTCGACATAGCTGGACAAATCGTACCGTTGAACCTCATCATATGGCTTTCAAGGCTCATCCATCTCATGTAATCACATGTCTTCAATTTGATGATGAAAAGATCTTGACAGGTAGTGATGATACATGTATTCATGTCTACGATACCAAAACTGGAGCTCTACGAAAAAAGCTTGAAGGACATGATGGGGGCGTCTGGGCTTTACAATATGAAGGAAATATTCTTGTTTCTGGATCCACTGATCGTTCGGTACGCGTTTGGGATATCGAAAAAGGTCTTTGCACTCAAGTTTTTCATGGTCATACTTCAACTGTACGATGTTTACAAATCCTTATGCCATCAGAAGCGGGAAAGACAGCAAGTGGTCAATCTATCATGGTTCCTGAGCAACCTCTTATTATTACCGGTTCTCGTGATTCTCAATTACGCGTATGGAAATTACCAGCCCAAGGAGATAAGCGATACATTCAAACTGGGCCACCAACTAATGATGCTGATTGTCCTTACTTTGTTCGCGTATTAGCTGGACATACTCATTCAGTTCGTGCTATCGCTGCTCATCAGGATACTTTAGTAAGCGGTAGTTATGACTGTTCGGTGAGAGTATGGAAAATCTCAACAGGTGAAGTTTTGTATCGTTTAACAGGACATACTGCAAAAGTCTATAGTGTTGTTTTAGATCATAAACGCAATAGATGTATCAGTGGTTCTATGGATACATATGTCAAGGTTTGGTGTCTTGAGACTGGTTCTTGTTTATTCACACTTGAAGGTCATACCTCCCTTGTTGGTCTCTTGGATCTACGTGATGAACGTCTTGTCTCGGCAGCTGCAGATTCAACATTACGAATTTGGGATCCAGAAAGTGGTGTGTGCAAGAGTACTTTGAGTGCACATACAGGTGCCATTACATGTTTCCAACATGATGGACAAAAAGTTATCTCTGGATCAGATCGTACTTTGAAAATGTGGGATGTCAAAACTGGTGAATGCATCAAAGACCTTTTAGGTGACTTGAGTGGTGTGTGGCAAGTCAAATTTGATGAAAGAAGATGTGTTGCAGCCGTACAACGTGATAATTTCACATTTGTCGAGGTTAGTATTCATTCACTTCCAAATCTCTATTCGTCTCTTTACTGATAATTTCAACAGGTCCTTGACTTTGGTGCATCACGAGACGGTGTTCCAAAATCCGAACGTGGTCATCGTATCCTATTGCCCAGCATCGACGAAACCGAAAGAATAGTCGAAGTTGCTGATAATGCAAACGCATAAACGAATGTATGAAATTTAAACGACGTCTAATGAAACTTAAACCCGAGAATGTATGAAACAGAATTACTCATATTCATGAAATAATCATCATTCTCATTGGGAAATGGGAAGGGGGAAATGGATGGGAGGTATACCCTAGTTTATTCAGCTGTTATCTTCACTTTATATTTCTTCAAAGTATACGTTTTGAGGTTCAATTCCTCAATCGAGGCGTTTTGGGCTGAAAGGAGGGTGGTCAAATTGGTGCATATAATTTCTTTCTATGCATAGCGAGGAATTCGTTCTCTTTTTCCTTTTTACGAATTCCCTTGATTTAAGTTCAAGTTCATTTTCGTCTCGTCTCGTCTTTCCGATGTGCTTTTTTTTTCTTTTTTCGCCTCGGCAGCGGTTGTGAGGTACAAGCGAATTCAACTTATGGTGTCGGCTATCTCTATACATATAGTAGTATAAGCTAAGCTGGACTCTGTGTTGTCTGGCTAGGTGTTTCATCCCCGAGGGGTTGAGGAGGTGGGGAGGGAAAGAGGGATAAGGAATGATGCGACCATACAAAATTTATGGTTAGGTGGATGGATGGATCGAAGTCGAGAGGCTAAGGAGTTTAGTGTGGACAAGAATTGGATCGGGCAAGGAGATAAAATGGCGTAGGACGGATCTGTCTATACGATACATATCACGCTTCCACGCACACATATCATATCGACGCCGATTCCTTGCGATGAGTTTTTTTGGGGGTTGGGGGCGGTGGTGGAGGAGGAAGACAATATTAAAGATGCGAAATGCAATCACTTACTTACTTGATTTCAAGCACATGACTTGAGCTTGAGCTTGGGCTAGTACAAGTTATATGGCTAATTTATGATATTCAATTCGGCAAAGTATTGCTCAGGGGTGGAGGTGGAAGGGGGGTGCTAGGCGAGGAAAAAAGTAATTACGTACAGTCCAATCAGTTAATCGGTTAATGAATAAAATGATCAAATTATACGTTTTGTTAATGGTTATCGTCTGTTGAGTTCTCGATGAGTTGTAGATGTGTGGTGGTTTCAAAATAATACTTTTGTACTAGGTATGTACGCTCAGTCAGTCACAGGGCGAGTGCCATGACGAAACAAATTCAGAATTATGCAAATGCACCATCTATCAGATTGAATCACATCAAGTCTAGAGCATTCTTTTCGAAGAAGAAAAAAAAAGTTATTATGCACGCTTTTCATTATCATGAACTATCCTCCTCCCTTAACCTAGGTAGGTAGGTCGGTAAGTTAATTCATAAATCAAAGTGATTAGTATATCAAAGGAAAAAACCCCCAACTCCAATTCCATGCCTGGTATCATTTATTTACTTCTGCATGCATGCGTGATGTAACGTAATAAAACATAACATGACCGTTCTTCCCTTTCCTGTCATTTCCTGCATTTCATTTTCTTTCCAAAGAGAATATTGAATGAGTCCAATATTGCGCTGTGGGGTATAAATGTTTCTCGACTTCTGTTTCTCTTCTTTCTCTTTTGTTTTGGGTTTTGGGTTTCGTATTTTTTTGTATCGCTAGGGTATATAGATAAATGGGTTAAGTGGCGTGATGAACGGTTTGATGACCATAAGTAGGTTGAGCCATTGCGGGGCCATTGGTAGTAGCGATGGGTTGCTCGCCAATACCCGATTCGGCCATTGATGGACTGTTAGTTTCAATGGCGTCGGATTTGGTGTGGATTTGCCATGGCTCATCTTTGGGTCCAAAGTTGCTGGCAAATGGTCCATGAACCTTGTCGTGCGCGAGGGATTTCCACATGATATACGTACTAGGAATGGGTTAGTGGGTGGGTTTGATGAGATATAGAGGGGAAGCTAACCTAGCAATCGTGCCTAGCATACCGAGCCAGAGGAGGACCACGGATGCAATACAATATGCGTTTTTGCGGTAGATGGGATTGGGGGGACCGTTTAAGTCGAAATATTGTTGTGCTTCGGAGTTGGTTAATCCGTCGATTGTTGCGCGTTGGGTGGCTACAATTACCTGTGTGGAATGGTTAGCGAGGGAGCGGAAGAGATGAGTTGACGTCAAGATTTAAAAAACATACGGTAAGAGCAATCGCATCTGCGAAAGTCAGGAAACACATCAAGACTGAACAAATCTTCCATGCTTTCTTGACCGCGATGGATTCATGACGTTGGGGCCAGAAGAGATCGAAAAAGAAACCGGAACCAAAAATCGTTGCGACGGCTATACCGACAAAGATGTTGAAGGAGAAAATTCCAATGATGTCGCGGACTGATGTGTGATATCCGTAACGCGATTTAATACCATCTCGTTGATCGACGTAATCTGAAGATTGGATATGGATATTAGTAATTTTTTTTACTTTTTGGTTGTATGAGAGTAGAGGAGGATAGAACGAAAAGGGAGAGATCTTACCACTTAGAGCCGCCGTTCCAACGGATTCCGAACACACACATAGAATCATGGCGATTTGATATACGATCATCTTGGTTTTGCGCAGATGATAAACGTGGTTGAACATGTAAGCTCCTTTGAACTTTCCCCATTGCATATCCCGGAGATCTAGACCCCAGATGATTGCCATTGTGACGGATGGGAATTGAGGTTCTTGGGGACTATTGGAATTGGATCGTAGAGTTGTGTGGTAATGTAGTTTGTATTTTGAGATGTTCTTAAAGCAACAAAGGATTATTTGAATATGATTATTTGTTGAACAACAATTGAATCTTAAAGCAATGGAGTCAAACCAAAGCTTGAGATGGAAAGATGGAAAGATAGGAAGATATCTTGATTAATAAAGAGAAAAGAAAAAGAGAAGAGAAGAAAGAAAAATTAAGCAGAAAAGATAAAAGAAGAGCTTGATGTATTTATTATAAAGCAGCTAATCGACTAAGTACGAAAGATACGCTTGGTGTTTGTTTTGTTCGTTCTTGGTAGGGAAGTATGATGATAATCCTTTTATTTTTATTTTTTTCGGTTTGAGGGGGTGGATTTGAGGATTCTGAACTACGTCATGGCTGCTGTCTGTGGTTTGGTTTGGTTTGGCATGTCCGTATCGGTGGCAGGTAGAGAGATAGAGGGAGAAAGGTATACATTTGTCTAAACCCCGAATTTGGATTAATGTATCACTTGTGATAGACGCCAAGATATGAAAACGGATTGATGAGAGGTTAGACGGAGTTCCTGTTGAGTATTTACTATTCATCTACCTAGTAGCTACCTCCGTGGACTTTACTCCGGGTTTCACAGCTGATGTTTGCATTCGGGAATCATGAGTCTTCGTTGTTAGTATTTAGTATTTAGATGTTGGTATCGGTCTTACCGGATGTGTGAGTATGAAGGGAGAGAGTCCGGTAAATCGGATGGGTAAAAGTATAATTATTAAGCTTTTTGATGTTTAGAGGCTTGATTAATCATTGAGGCGTTAGTTTTGATGTTAGCTTTATTCGTCATATTGAACGGGAATGGTCTCGAGGAAAAGAAGGCAAGGTAAGGTAAGGTTGTGTTATCTAATTACCCAACATCTATTTATCTTGTCAATACATACCTATCTATCTACCTCATCAATACATGTTATCAAAATCTCTATTAAAGAAATACTCTTCTACCCTCCTACCTTACCTCACTCTCTACATCGATACACGGAATGCTCGATCCAAGTAAGCTACTGTAGATCTATAAAAAGTTCAAATGATCACGCTTTGTTTCTTGACGTGCGTCCCCCTTCCGTTCCGTGCGCTTACTGGTGTTGGTTGGTCTCTCGTCCATTCGTGAAGAATGAGTGGCTGAATACGACAAGGGTAAAATTGAAATACCTACCTAGGTACAGTATGACGTTCGCAGCCACAAATATCGACCCGTGGATACGAAAACATTACCGGTATTTGTGAGGATTTGATACTTGACTCGACTGTGTAGGGGAAAATCTTCATCGCTTGCGGAAAGGGGGACTCGGGTCAGTACGATTAGGTACTCGATGACTAGGTACGAACTTTTCTCTTGACCTACGAGATTATTACGTATGTTTGGAGGTGGATAGGTATTAGGTGGGTGAGACATTTGATTAAGATGCTAGATACTAGACTACATATAAATGCCGTGATTGTCCTTTTTCATATTATGACGAATTCAAACAAACCTGGATACAAACCGGGAATCGAACATTTATTTTGAAATTTGATTTCTCCCTTGCATTTTTGAACAATACAGGCATCGAATTCCTTACAGTTCATTCATACAGTTCATCTCAAGACTCCGTACGCAACTACCTACCTACACAAATTCACAAATTCCCAGACAGAAACTAAATTGTAAGCGCCGGCTTTGATAGAAGTCGCTATCCATTTGACAGAAAGGAAACTTACACCAACAAGATCCGTTCCGGTTGTCAATGCTAATAAGGCTGGCTCGATTAGCTGATCATATGATGAAATACTCACATGACGCTATGTATCCAAAAGTCCAAGATGGACTTCGGAATACTCAGTAACCGCTGCAGTTGACCATCAAGTTTGATAATTGTCGAAGATCGTGCATTCATTTGGATTCGGGATTTGGTTTCTCTTCGTTCTCGAACTCTCCAAATCTGATATGATCTGGGCAGTTGAGCCTCAAATAATAATTACTAGGTAATACGGGCAGGAGAGAGCCGACTATTCCAAACTAGCTAACTACTTCTTCCTCTTGAGGCTTGTGCGCGCACTCTAGATTCGTGGGAGTGGATGGAATGGTTTCGAGAAGTTCTTACTGGTATGAAGCTACCTACCCTGTCTGTCTCAGAATGTGTACTCGGTACGGCTAGCGACTATCAATACTCAATACTCGTCGTCGCAAGTTCTTCCAGCATGCTCGCGGTGAATACTAGGTAGGTAGGTAGATGAGGACAATTCGTCAATTCAGACATCGCTTTCGATTTCCACACATCAAGTTGTAAGTCCTTTGATTGATTGACAGATGTAACAGTGGATGCCTTACAATTCTCGTCTATCCTAAGGCATCACAATTTCTACACTACACCATATTAGAAATTAGCCCCACTGACTTTGAACCTCTTCTTGTCCTCAAAACTTCCAATTCATTCTTTTGATTTCTTCTTCAAAATAATTTCTTACTTCTGCCTCATTTCCCACCATCTCAACAACTCTTCTACTTCTACTTTAAATACTCCCTTCTTTCTTCAATCTACATACAAACCAACTTTGCAAGTTTGATTGTGGTGCTTTTTCTTAATAATTACCTACATTTAATTCCTTTCTTCTACAAATCAAAGGTACGTTGCAAAAGCTCTCACTACAAAGATCTCTTCCCAAAATCCCTTCCTCTTTTTTTTTATGATGAGACACAAGCTGGCACCAGTCAGAGTCGATTTGTACTCATATCTTTGAAGACAATGCTATGGCCTTCGGGCCTCCTTCTGAACAAAAAATCTTTCATTTACATATTGAAAAATCTTCACATTCATTTGAAATGCATGTTGCTGACATTCAATTTTGACAGATTCTTTTAAACAAAACAACTTTTCAATCAAACTTCAATCAATATGGTTCTTCACAACCCAAACAATTGGCATTGGGTAAACAAAGATGCTTCAACGTGGGCAAAACAATGGTTGGAGGATAGTATAAAGGAGGTGAAAGCAGAGGAGGATGGTGTTACTGCCCAATTGGATAAATTGATTAGTATGGATGGAGACGTTGATGTCAATCAACGAAAGGGAAAGGTCATTACCATATTTGATGTCAAGCTCGTTATTGAGTATTCAGGTATGCCCTGTAGTTATAGTCAATATTATGAATTTCTGTCTAATTGGACTAGGCAAAACCAAAGATGATGAATCCGTTAGTGGTACCATCACTGTTCCTGAAGTTGCTCATGATACAGAAGTAAATGAGTATGTTGTATGTTCGAATCATCTCCTGAATGTACATTTGGATGATTTGTCTAACTGTGATCTTTTAGTTTGACATAGATATTTATTCCGATGCCAATTCCAAAGCCCCAGTCAAGGATCTTATTCGTGCAAAAGTTATTCCACAACTTCGAAAACAATTCGCTCAATTAGGTCCTGCTCTTATTACAGAACATGGAAAGGACATTCAGCATGCACCAGATGCAAATCCAGCCGCCAAAATCACAGCCGCAAAGACATACCCTCATAATGCTCCAGGTCAATCTACAAGCACATCTACCAACAAAGGTTCTTCTTTAGTCAACACAACTACTGTCACCGATAATGAAGAATTCAGAGCTCCAGCTTCAGAACTTTATCAAACATTTACCGACCCTTCTCGAATTGCCGCTTTCACACGCGCTGCACCAAAATTATTCGAAGGTGCAAAGAAGGGAGGAAAATTCGAACTTTTCGGAGGAAATGTTTCTGGTGAATACCTCGAACTTGTTGAGCCAACAAAAATCGTACAAAGCTGGAGACTTGATCAATGGCCACAAGGACATTTCTCTAGATTGGAGATTAACTTTGATCAAAATGATGTTGATAATGTTACGGTTATGAGAGTTTCTTGGTCTGGTGTTCCAGTCGGTCAAGAAGAGGTTACAAAGAGAAATTGGAGTGAATATTATGTTAGAAGCATTAAACAGACTTTTGGGTAAGTTTGACCGGAGGCTTTCTTGAAGTGGTTTATACTGCGACGCATGCTAATCTTGTTAATATAGCTTCGGCACAATTTTGTAGATGGATTGATGGTTAGAATGGGGAAGCGAGGTGGCGAATGAATAAGGGGCACATACATGGAGGGGTGAATGATCGAAGGAAGGCATGCAAGCGAGCGAGCGAATGAACGACGAATGAAAGCAAACGAATACCTAGATGAATATTGAAATGAGCTCTTTTTTGTTATGAATGATGGATGGATGGATGGATGAACGAAGGAAATTCTTTTAGATCACTATAGATGAATCTACATTGGCGTTGCTACTGTCACTTGCAATGCGTACCAACTTTCTCATGTCTGGAATTGTGAGGATCTCCTGAATACTTATTGATATCTCTATTCTGTAGAGCTCATATATGTATGAATGTATGTATGTGAGTCAAGAGGTAAGTGAATGACGCTCCGCTGGCCCTCCGGGGGCCACTGCCGTGGAGGCAGACTAGGACTAGGACTAGAATTAGAACTATGGGGAATTGAGAATGCGGATTAGGACTTGGGAATAAGGGGAGGATGTTTGAGAATCGAGCGTAGCGAGCTAAAGGGGGTTTGGGGGCTTGCCCCCATGAAGAAGGTGGGGGGAGATGGGGTTTGAGATAAGGGTGGATGATAGTATGGAAGGGAGAGCTTGCTGGAATTCTGGAGGTGCTGGTAGATATTAGGTAGTGGTGTAAGATGTCAGCGTTGATGTTGTGAGGCGGGAGTAGATGGGGAGGGTAAGAAACTGTTGAGATTACTTGGGGGGGGGAGTTGTCAACTCGAATCATCATATACAGTACTGTATAGTTTATACAAAATGAATAATATAAATTGAGATGATTTAGAATAAGGTATGATTCTTTTTATTATATATATAATAAAAGAATTATGTGATTTGTTTAAGTATGTGATTATATATTTCGATATAAACAGAATTTTCATTTATGATGAAAAACTTAGAATGTATAATATAAAAAGCGAATTGTATTAACTAAATTCCTTAAAATCTAAAATCAATCTGAACTAAAGATTACTCCTCCTTCTTATCTTCTTTATTCTATAATTAAACTAAGGAGGAAAAGGAAAAGAATAAATCGAATGAAAAGTTATGTATAAGTGGGGAAGAGTTTTATTCATTAGGATAAAGCGATTGAGAGGGAGGGATATTAAATCGATTCGATTGAATGGGGTATTTGTATTTAATTGAATTTTGAAAGAATTGAGAATAAAGAGGGGGTCTAATTATTATACAAGGATGAATAGAAGTAGGTTATTCTTCTATTCCTTTATAAAACTTAAAATTGTTACGGGAGCTGCCTCTAGGGTCACGTGGAAGTGTCTAGAGTTCTCTCGAGGTGGTTTAGACTAAACTTCAAGTAGGAATTCAATAAGGTTGGTAACTGGTTGCAATTCTCGTAACTATAGTAATGAAACTAATGATTGTTCTTGAGCACGAAGCTCTACATTGTAATGAAACCCATTCCCTTATATAGACCTTCGTACTTTGATCGAATCGTCAAGTCTACTCGACTACTCGAGTCGACAAGTCGAATCGACTTTCCTTCACGTGACACTTGTCCTCGTGACCTGGTAAGGCTACCGCTCATTTAACCTGTGCTTACTAGCTAATCTGTAACCGTTGTGCAACCTGTGCCTACTGTGGGGTAGGTGCCAATAAAAGATAGGTACCTATCTTTTAATCACTGCTTATTTATTCGGTTACCGCTATCTTTAGTTACCCTTTAATTCAACTGTCCCTACAGTGCTGTTTTCGTAGGTCCCAACACCAAGGCCTTAGGTTTATCTTATAATCCATGTTGCGGTGCGGGTACCTCCGTAACAAAAATATGGGAGATTGAATTCTTTTTGGTAAGGGAATAGTGGTTTAAAGCTTACAAGGCTTCAATTTCAATATATTCTCTTAAGAATATAAATGAAGATCGAATTTGTATAGAATTTTGAAGCTATTTTGTTAAATAGTTATTTGTATTATAATAAGCTCTTCAACTTTATAATCTTTTTCCTTTGCCCTTTTAATTCAAACAAATTAGATCTACTAAAGATAATAGATAAGTATTTTTCTCCGATTTAATAGTTATATAAAGGAGGGTGTTTTATATTATAAAATGAAGAAGGGGGGTTTAATAAAAGATTTCTAATGAGAAAGAGATAATAAAGTAATTCTTTTTATATAAAAAGGAAGGGGTTTCAAATTCGAAAAGTATATTGAGTTTTAAATAGAATATAATGAATATGAATTATCGATTTATTAAAATCTATAAATATAATAGTCTAGTTTATAAATCAATCAATCCGTTTAATTCTAAAGAAATTAACTATAATCAGAAATCCTTTTTTAATATATTGATCGAAGAAAATAATATAAAGAAAATAATATTTTAATCTTTTATATAAATTATATATAAATATATAATCTAATGTAATCTTGTTTATCTTTTCAAAGAATATCTTATTAAATAATTTAAACCATTTTCTTTATTTTTATACGAATATTTTTATATAAAACCTTAGAAAATAATCTAATTTACAAATACTTTTAATAAAAAGATAAATATTAATTAATATTAAGATCACTTAGAAAAGGGAATTGTCAACTTGAATTACTATATGTAGTATTGTATAGCCTATACAAAATGAATAATATAAATTGAGATGATCTAGAATAAGGTATGATTCTTTCCACTATATATATAATAAGAAGAATCATGTGATTCGCTTAATCACGTGATCATACGTTCCGACAGAAACAGTGTGTTCAAAAGAGCAGAAATAAGGGGTAGGCGTTCAAGATAGATCTCGAAAAATAGTGACTGATTATGGATAGAAGAGGGAATACCCTGAATGTATCTGTAGGAGGGACAGATAACTTAGAAACTCGATACGAAGAACTCAAGATGTGATGGCTGAAATGTATTTGCGAATCTACTTGTTGCTGGTCCTTGAATATCGTGTTCTGATCATGAGAAGTAGATCTGTGTGAGTTTGAATGATTGGTAGTACTTATTTGATCTTGTAGAACTGTATCGCGAGATAACAAATATCGAACTTGTATTTGTAAACACATATTCGTCGATGGTGTTCTTGAAGTAATAGGATACTCATGCATACCCTTCTACCTATCTGGGCAGATGAGAGAATGTTATGTAATATGCGCTAACTTCGGTACCCCACCAATATTACTGACAGGAAAGACCCTATATTCTTAGTTCATCATTTCATAAGTCTTTCTTATATTATCTTGTCTTTCAATCGAAGATCCAATTACCTAGTCATTTCAAAAGAACATACGCATCACTAATGAACGATTGATGCATTCAATCTGTTTAGTTGATGATATCTCAAGGCAGACATAAAAGAATGGCCCAATTCAAGATCGACAGGAGATACGGGTAATCACTGAGCCTATAAAGTACCTATCATGATAGAACGTCCACGACGCCCCGAAGACTCTTCACGAGTAACAGCGAAAGAGGCTGGGACGGTATGTCACCCATCTGAAACATTCCAGGATACTTATCTTATCAACTTGGTGGTCAATTAGGCATTCATTCTTTATTACATGGTTCATCCCCGGCACAGTGAACCCATTAACGTGGCTATGCTCTGCAGTCCCGGTCAAACTGGTACAGCAATATGCATTTTAAATCCTCCCTAAGGCTGGTTATATGCAAGATGGGACTCAAGCGAGTATTTCAGCCAATAACCTTTGATATATATATGGCACTAGCAGTAGGTCATTGAGATTTAAGGTTGAGTGGCCGAGTTAATCTGTTTGATTTGTGGAAGCGAATTCGAAATTCCCGCATACGATGTACAGTTTCATGCGCCGCATTTCTTACACGAAGCGCTTTGATAGATACCTTGCTTTTTGTTTACATAAGAATTGACTGTGTGGATTGTACATCTCATTGTTTTGTTTACTTATTACTCAATTGTCCCTAATTTCCATGTAGTGTTTCTCGTTCATTGCTTTCGTTCGTTCTATACATTCGCATTTTCGTCAAACTATAAAATTACAACATCAATAACAAACCGTTCATTTCCAATCATGGGTTCCCCAGATTATTCACCCCTTCCTCGAGAATCCACGGATTCGGATCGATACATTGCTCCAAGTTCAGATGGATATCGAACATCTGAGGAATATTCTCCTCGTACCTCCAAGAGTCGTTCTATCACCATTAATTATGTACTTATTCTCCGACTCATGAACCTCGCATTCGGATCAGCCGCTTTCGCACTATTCGTTCTCAATGGTTATGACAAGTATATTGCTGCTGATGTCTTTCTCATGCTCAGTTTGATCTTTAATACCGTTCGAATCTTACATACATTTGTTTCATCAGTCTTCCATGTCACTGTTGAAATTAGTCGTGGTTCATGGCAGAGTAAATTATCTGTTAGACCAAATGGAGCTAAAGCAACAAATGTTATGGACTTCTTGTTGGCTAGTGGTTTAGCACTTTCAATGATTGGTGGAATGGTGAGCAGTTATGAAAATGATCTAGTGGTTGATGGGATTGTAGTCGCATTTTTCGCTATGTAAGTTTATCAACATTGGTTTTGTGGATATATTTTTCTAATATTTTCTTCCAGGGCCATACAATACATCATAGCATTACCGGTTCAAAACCAAACTTTTATGCTCAAATTTCACTTCCACGGTGAAAGCGATGCGAATCGAGAGGAGTTCCTGGGACAAAATGATGCTCATCGAATTATTCTCAGAGATGACGGAAATAGACAAACCGCTGAGAATTTGGTTTAATTTCGACTCATCGACATGACCATCTCGAATAATCTAACTACTGGTCCATTAGAAAGCTTATATTGGTTATGAAAGACAGGTTTTCTGTTATGTCTGCGGTTATTGGGGAAGTATTGATTCAAAATGAATCGAATTGACAATTTGTTCTGCACTTCTGCCTCGCCGTTCCTTAGATATTGGAGTAGAGGAGGGAATGTACATACTATCATTTATTTGGCCTTTATTCATATATATCTATCTATCCGCATTCATTCATTCATTCATTTATTTATCTAGTTGTTCATTCATCCCTCTATCCAGTTCTTCATTATTCATCTACATAACACAGCAGCGCAGGTCTTGAAGTGCCAATTATTCTAACCTGCGCCGTAAGATAGGGAAAACCTCACCTCACTTTGTTATTTGTGCAAAGGTTTAATTATCGGATTACCAGAGACCTTTTAGTTACCTCGTCTTCATCCAATCCGTTGATAATATTTTTCCCTGTTGTCTTCAATTGCTTACTTCCCCAATCATCTTCTCACCATTCATTGTTTTCTTTGTATCATTCCCTTCCTACCATCCCGCCTACTGTCTGTCTCGATTAAATAAAGAGACAAATTACTCTTTCACTATTCATATATGAATTTGTTTTCGTAAAATTGGGAAGATTTCCTTTTTTAACGTTCACACCAAATAGGTAGAATCCAACCTAGAAATCTATCCCCCTTCATCTCGCTTCGCTGGAACGTTGTCTTCTAGGTACCTAGAGCAGGGCGATAAAGACACCACGATACAGGCCTGGCAGAGTAAAGTGAAGTCTAATATCAGTAATCAACGAGTCAATATTTCCGGATGTCCTCTTTGTTGGCTGATTTAACTTACAAACTGTTACTAGGCAACTCTTGAAACTTTCCAATGCCTCATTTTCCGACCTATTCGGACGAAATGGCTATCGTGGATCTAATCAAACCTCTCAGCCTCTTCCTAATTCCATGATATGTCGCCAAAAAATTATCGTTGGATTGGGTCACCAAGGGGTTACCGTCTAGGCAATATTCCCCTCTGGGTCTCGGCTTAGATTTCTCGACCCCTTTTCTGTACCGAGAATTGACCGTTATTTCAGGCTGATACATATACTCAAAATGCTACCTATATATCCATCATTCTTATACCCTGAAAGGTCCTGACGAGAAAAGTCTGCAGCGCGCATAATTCATTTTTCACAGCTATTTCGGAGTCCCTCATTTTCGCCTCTTGTATTCTCATTCAAAGATCATGTCTCCGCCTAGAGCCACCAGCAACTCTTATTTCTCCAATGCCCCGAGCTCTACCCAAAGCGATAGACAGAGCGGTGTAACAGTCAAACCCGTTGAAGATAGAGGGACAAAGGTGAGAGAGACTTATCCAATTCTAGACAGATCGAACAAATACGATCAAAGCAAAGCAAGAGGACCAAAACCCATTCCAAGATCCATCGGCCCCACACGGAATCATGATGCTCATGAGTATGATAATATTAATAGGCGTGAAGTGGATCCAGGAGAAAGCGTTAGCCAAATTTCTGGAGGGTCTCAACCAAGCAACGCAACAAGTCATGGTTTTACTTCTCGTGAAGCTTATGAATTCAAAAAAGAGCTGAAAAGAAGAGATAAGCAATATGAAACAGGCAGTATAAAGGAAACTGAAGCGCAAAAGAAAGAGAGAAAAGCGAAAGAAGCAGCGAAAAGAGAAAAGGAAAAAGCAGCGGAAAAAGAAGCAAAAAAGAAGTCAGATGAAAGAGGAACCAGCGAGCTTGGAAGTTCTCATAAATATGGTTCTGCTCGTAGTTCTGCTCCTACTCATGTTTCTTCTACTTCTACTGCTAAACCCCCGACTGACCATTCGTCGCATGTCAGTAAGCGGCAGAGTCAACAGGGCCAAACGAGCGTGGCTAGAGAATCTCGCGCACCACGTAGTTCTGCTCCTACTAATGTTTCTTCTTCTTCTACTTCTACTTCTACTTTTACTACTAAGCCCCCGACTGACCATTCGTCGCATGTCAGTAAGCGGCAGAGTCAACAGGGCCAAACGAGCGTGGCTGAAGAATCTCGCGCACCATATTCGCGTCACAGCCAGCAGCTTGCGCGTTACGACGGCGGTCGTGACGATCCTCGTTGGGCAGAGACGGAGATAGGTTCAAGGGGAGGTCAGGGTAGTATACGTGGACAAGGTAGAAATATGGATCCTAACCATGATGATTATCCCGAACGTGAACACGAACGAAGAGTTCCCGACTCTAGAAATTTTGAATACGAAGCACACCATGCCAGCACACAGGATAACCAATATTCTACACCCGCTGTGCAGGTTAACGTTCATACTCGTGTTTCTACTTCACTTCGTGTTTCGAGTACGAGTTCAGGTCATCCACCTAAGCCTCAGCTTGTGCGTAGGGATACGAAACCTCCTCCTGGATACTCTTATCCACCTGGGTACTATCCAAGTAGGTAGATAAGCTGATTTATTCATACCTATCTACTCACCTGTCTATTGGGATTTATATACAATCACCCAGCCAGTCAGTTAGTCAGTTAGTCAGTTAGTCAGTCAGTCAGTCAGTCACCCAGCCAGTCAGCACATCAGTACGTCAGTCCGTCTATGACAGCAGATCGCATAGCATCTCATTGAAAGATGCATAAATTTGATTTCGAGTTTAGAGTTTGGAGTTTCTAAAGCATAAGAATATCAATGGATAGCAAGTTGTTACAGATTCAATCCGAAGTTTTTAAAGTATTGGAAGATTGATAGTTAGCGAGTCGTTGTAGAGTCGACTTGGAAGCATTGGAAGCGTTGGAGTACGGGAATATTTGAATTATTGATAGATAGCAATTGCTTTGATTTTAAAATAGTATACCTTGATTTTTCATAATGTTTGGTTTTGGCGCAGCAATAATGGATACTTGATGAGGTTGAAAGTTCTCGACTTACATAACCATTCGTTTCTTCAAGCGAAGCGCGAAAGCCTCCACGGCAGTGGCCTAGCGGAGCGAAAATGACAAGAAAAGGTCTTTAACTTTACATGAAACAGAATCACAATTAAACTTAACGGATGGAACGATAAAATTAGTGTGAACAAATGTTCAATATTTGTATTGGCACAATGGTGTTGATACAAGGTCTAGCACGCCAGCCACCCTATGATATCGCTAATTTCAAGAGAAATGAAGCAACTTATTGATCATCCTCAAACGCCATACTCCAATGTCCGTCCAAGGACTTTTCCCCAAATATACTATTATCCTTCACAGAAGAATTCCCATGCACCCTACCCTTACTAAGCTCTCTAAATTCAAACAAATCCTTCCCAGAAGACTGCTCAACATTCATTACCGCGTCCGGTTTTGAAATTGTCGACGTCTGTTCCTTTGCCTGTTCCTTCATTATAACTTTAATAGCCCAAGACAACGTTATTAACGATTCCAAACTCGAAGACTTACCACCATTACAAAGATCAAACACCTTTGCGCCGTTCATACAATCGCTAGCTGATTGTTGATTAGACGACAACCGCATTGTCTCCAGCGTCGCATCCAGAAGAGGACGCGCCAAGCTGGGACTGCAGGTTAAGAGTCTCCTCAACAATCGAATCCGAAGAGTGTACTTCGGGCGCAGATGGTGTGATCTCGTCTTGGTGAATGAAGTCGGCGAATAAGGCATCGTTAGTGGCGCCGTTGTTGTCAGTAGCCAAATTATCAAAGTTATTAGTGAAGGCGTCGACGATAGGACCGATCCGTTCATTAAAGAAAGTTTGATCTGCACCAAGGGAATCAGGATATTCGAGATGACTGGTGAAGTCATCATTTGAACCCATAGTGTACTGACCAAAACCCGTGAAATTAGAATATTCTGAGGGGTACTCATCCAATGCCCTTGTACTTTCGGTTGACACTGCAGGTCGCACAACATTGCAGCAGAATGTTGTGTCATACCGAAAGAACTGGGGTTGAATGAGTCCTCATCATTTGATTCCATTGAAGGTGGTGGTGGTGAAACGGAAGCTAGATCAACAGTACCGATTGCTGATTGCATAGTATTGTGACTATCTCTAATTGGTGTCATTATTGATCCAGACTCTTCCATACCGAATAATTGTTTGGTAAAGGCGAGTGGTGATTGTCCATCGAAACTTTCTTTTCGACCTGGAGATGAAGTGACAGATGAAGGTGGAAGGCATGCTGGCGTAATATTTTCGCCAGTCATACCGGTGACTTCTTCTAGCTTTCGACGAACTTCTTCATATCTAGCTTGCATATCTGCCAATTGTAATTGCAAATCGGTATTTCTACGTTCGATTTGATCTTTTTCTGCTTGAAGGTTATCAACTTCTTGCCTCTTTCTTTCCCTCGAAGTTTGAGCGGCTCGACGATTTCGAAGAACTCTTTCAACTCGACGTTGTTCCTTTTCATCTTCAGTCTTTGCTCGTTTTCTGTTGGAATTGTATTAGCCGATGTTATTGAATGATGAATAACAGATGGATTGAATTACCTTGGCGGGAGATTTGTTTTGGGTTCAGGTAATTGTTGACCCCACGACTTTCTCTTCTTAACTTGTTTCTTTTCTGGTGCGGGTGTACCAGCAAGACTTCCAGTTAAACCCACATCCTCACCCATATCATCTCCAAACATGCTATCGCCATCGAACGATTGTGGAGTCATAGCTTGTGATGGCTCCATGCTTCCTTCGGTGTGAAATAAGGAAGGATACTGTTGACCAGGTATTGAAGTGAATGATTCGGCGATAGATTCTGCTGGTGATAACTCAAATTTTAAGTTTGGAGCCGACATCTTTGGGGGTATGATTAGTTGTGTGGGTTGGTTGTGTGAGAGGTTGACGTTGATGTAGATAATGACGATCTCAATCTCAATCTCGACCTTGACCTCGAACTCAAAGTGGATGATGAAACTTGGTTCTTAAGTTCTTGAGTGGATCTCTTATTGATGTTCTATGATGAAGATGGAGGCAAAGGATAATCCAAATGGGTTTATGCACAGAATGACTATTGTAGATGGAGGATATTGTGGAGGGAGTCAAGTGTGGGCAAGCCCATAATGAGGAGGACAGATGGCCCACTTGAGATAGAATGTACGAGTCAATGGATGCCTTGGATGGCTTGAGGTGCCTTAATCGAGGTGGGTAGACGAATAAGAATTAATGAATGGAAGAAAAGAATTAAGAGTAAGAAGGTGATGGAAGGTGATAGTTGAAGCGAGAAAGAAGAGAGAAGAGAGAAGAGAGAAGAAAGAGAGAGATTGGGATTGCTTGTGGGAGTGAAATTGGGAATATTCGAGGTGGGAGATCTGTCCTCTTTATCAATTGAACACGGTGTTCGGTTAAGGGGTTTATTCAAGATCATTCTAGGAATTCAAGGAACCAATCAAATCACATTCTTCATTTACCTGATGGAAGGGAAGGGCATGATCCCAGAAAGGAATGTTCTCCATAAGATCCATGCTTTATCTCACAACTTACCACATTAGGTTTAGCGGGAGCAGTCTACACGAAGATTAATACGCCAAGTGCACGCCATTTGAATCAATTCCCCTCTCTTGCATGGTACATTCTTATTTATGGGTTTTGATGGGTTCCAGATTCCATTTTCCAACACATCGTAAAGAGTGGGTGAGTGCCACTGATGAGTACGAAGTACGTGAGTGAGTGGGCTCAAGCCTTTTTGACCTGACCTACCTTACCGTACAGTAGTTCAAAACCAACTCAACACAGCCTCCCATGTCAAATTCCGAGTTTGAAGTTATTGATAGTTTATGATTGGGGATTGAGGGTTTATAGTTTACAATTGGAGATTGAGAGTTTATTATAGTTTACAATTGGGGATGGAGAGTTTATTATAGTCGATGATTGAGGGTTTATACTTGATGGTTGAGGTTCAAAGTGTATATGGTTCATGATTCAGAGTCTATAGTTTATACTTTAGATTTCATAGTTCATAGTTCATAGTTCATACATTCTATCTCTTGCTTACTAAACTTTGGATGACTACATACAAGATGTACTAGGCTTATCTAACATGGTTACCTGCCAGAAGACTACAAAGTATTACCCGCACATAACCTTTGATACTTCCCCCAAAACTCATGTGGAGCTTCTTTGCCTCCGTTCGTACTTTTCGTTCGTACACTCCCTAATACCTATGCCACCTAAAGTTAGATACGCATACGACATATGTTCCATACCCAGCCCAGCTCAGCCCAGCTCAGAATATTAACACCATTCGTAAAGAGAGATTTAAACTTGAACCCCTTTATTTTGACCTCGAGCGGCGAATTCCATATGTATGATTTTTCCCTTCATTCAAAATCCAATCAATTTCTTAATCAATAAATTCCCGAATGTTCCAATATTGTAATTTCTCAAGAAATTCACTCAAAGCCTTCCTCAATAAAGTTTCAACAACAAAAAGATAATCACCATTAGTGTATTTATTAGTATGTTAGAGAATGATCTAGGGTTGGTGAGTGACATTTAGACTTCAATTCTGAAAGACGGTCTTTGATACCGGGATAGATAAACTTTGTCTAATCACCCGTATGGAATCTACACCAACATTCTCTTTCGCACCGAGTACTCTACGGAGTATAAAATGTCTGTCTCTGTCATGATATTATCAACAAGATTTATTATTTATATCAAGTTTCATCATTGATCAAACCAAACAGGGAAGATGGATCGTTTGATATCGCTAATAAAGGAGATTGATTCGTACACACTTTCGACGCGGTTGCCCCTCATGTCGATCAGGGGTTTTGGGAATATATCGCATGGGAGGGATGGTATGAAATAGATCGGGGAGGGAACGTGGGTATCAAAGCGCAAAGATGAAGATGGAATTAGACTTGGAATGGTTTCGAGAAACTCTGAACCTTGAACTTGACATGGATTTGATTTCGATTGGGATTTCAAGAATAGGTTTAACCTCATGGATGCCTTTATTTCTTTGACGACATACCAATTCGAGTAATTGAGAGTTGATTCAAATCTACCGTATCAACAACTACCGGTATCAAGGTACGAAGTAGGTATCTAAACGTTTCATTAGTACCATCTAAATTACTCTCTACTATATCAAACTTCAGCCCGTCAACCTCCTCACTCAGCAATACTTCTACGCCAGCGTAGATACTAAATCATTAACACACCACCTTACATCCATGCCTCCCCCTATCCCCCATCCCTCCAAAAGTACATTCCTTCATCCTTCTCACCACATCCTCACATCAGAAATAAAATGATTCCACGCCTTCATCTACCATCACAATACCACCCTCCGCTTTCCCAGGTACTTCTCCGGTGTCGATCATCCAACCGATTGATCTCTTACTAGATGGTGTGGTAATCTTACTACCACGACTATAAATTGATCACACAATCCGATGTCTCCCTAGGTAGGTAGATGGTATCAATTATCCGCTCCGTAGGTTACTTATTTGACTTTTTGTCCCACTAGATCGATTGCTCAATGTTACCCAACTCTCTTATTAGTGACAATGCATCTAAAGATTTAGCATAAACATCCATCCAAACTTTTCCCCTCGAGCCCTGATACTCCGAACGGTACAACAGGCACATCACACCCGTCAAAATCAGCACTTTCTTTATAACATTCTGATAGTATTTCAAGATTGAACAACAATTTAGAACAATATAAGAATTAAATCAAAATGAAGAAACATTGTAAACTTTAAGCTCTTCAATATTAGCCTTCCATTTCAGCTTGAAAAATATTGATCATTGATTTAAGGGGAATTTTGAAAATGATGCTATCTTTGTGATATGCCTCTTCAATCATTCAGAGTGTATATGCCCCTCTAGACTAATAAACACCGACCACTCAAGCAAAGAAATAAACATCCATCACACTACCTCAAATTCCCAGTCCTTACCTGCCTGTCAAATATTAATCACATCACCCAATTCAATCCAATTCAGTGCATCCCATACCATACGATCCATCCAATCCAATCCAATCCAATCCAATCCAATCCAATCCAATCCAATCCAATCTCAAGACATTACATTTCATTTCATTTCATTTCATCCCTCCCCTCCGGCCCTTCTCCCCTTTTTCCCATCGTACCCATATACACTTCATTATGCAGAAAGTCGGAATCTCTTATGATTCCTCCGTTTCTTCACTTCCATCTTAAACTCTTGCCACTCATATCACATTATATCATATCACATCGCATCGCATCGAAACGGAGGTATACCACCTCTCCTCACACAAGTTACAATATGAATATAATCCCGGCCCTCTACTCACCCCTCACCCCTCACATAAATCCTCGGATCATGTATCCAGAAAAAGAAGTTGCTTGTCTTGTCTTGTCTTGTCTTGTACAGTACATCGTACGTACGGCGCACAATTGTCCTTGCATCCATGGATGTGTGCGTCGTATAACTTGCATAAATCAATCTCCCCTCTGTATTTCTAGAATAACCTTGGAAGCCTTGTTTCTAGAGGGTTGCAGTGGCGCATGTGGCACTTTGGTGGTATGTTACACTGGAGGAAGAAATAGATCCTCCGTAGAGTACAGAGGAGGTAGAGGAGTACAGTCAGATTCGATAATTATATCTAGGTGTCTTTGAGCTTAAAGGGGAAGCTGGATAGTGTATACTGATTGACTGACTGACTGTATGAACTACCTATTACCAGTACTTCTATCCCATCATCAACTTCTTAAACCATCCATGCAACAGTAACAGTAACAGTAAACTATAGCAGCACCGTCAAATACCTACCTATCATATAATAATAAACTTTAACCAAAATCAAAGTGAATCATATCAAAAAGATCTAGACCCCCTCCCCTCCCCTCCCCAAACCCCTAACTAAGAAATATCGGGGGTTGCAGCTTGCAACGGCGTGTGCTACTTCATTCTTGTGTCTAAATATTTAAGAAATGTCCTCACATAAAAGTTGTCCAAGTCATGTGATGGCAATCAATCATTCATAGATCTTCCCTTTCTACTTACTAAGTCGGATACCCTACTTTCGAGCTATCCCTCTTTTGGGCCACTTTTTACACCAAAAATAGAATTTTTAACTTTTTTATTTATAAATAGAATTTATTGAAAATTTATATATATATAATTTAAATTATTTTAGTTTAGCTTGAAAATTTCAGATTTTTAGGAATTTTCTGTATTAAGATCTAAAGCTTTAAAGTATCGATTTTTTAATTTGTATAAGAATCATAAGTTATATAAATTTGAAACTTTTATAAAATCTTTAATAACTTTTTAATAAAAATTATTAAAAATAAATTATAAAATTTTATTATAAATTTATAATATGTTTGTTTTGAAGGATTCAGAAAAAAAAGAAAATTTCCTATAAATAGATATTTAAAAGAATACTCTCAAAATTATAGGGATTATTTATACTACTTTAAACTCATTATATACTATATCTTTATATTTGTTAATTTTTTTTAATTTTTTTTTTAATTTCTATATAAATTTAAACTTAAAACTTTCAAAAAGATATATAGTTTTTTTTTAATGATTGTTGTTAAAAAGTTATTAAAGATTTTATAAAAGTTCTAAATTTATATGTGATTCTTATATAAATTAAAAAATCAATATTTTAAAGCTTTAGATTTTAATATAAAAAAATCCTAAAAATCTAAAATTTTCAGATTAAATTTAAACGATCTGAATTATATATATACAAATTTTCAATAAATTCTATTTATAAATAAGAAAGTTAAAAATTCCATTTTTTGAGATTTTTGGTGGTAAAGAATGGCCCAAAATAGGGGTGGCCTGAAAGTAGGGTACTCGACTTACAAGGAACTCGAACCTACGATGTACATGTGAAACAGATTTTCCTTTTTCAAGCAAGACACTCGGATTGCGCAAGACGATATGATGTGATGCTATTGAAACATTTTGGAACAGTTGTGGTACGCACGTACGCATGAGATTTTGATTCATTGGAATTTGGGGGGTGAAATATTTATGGGGTCTCAATTTCTTTTAATCTTTTAATCTTTTATTATTATTTTGTTTCCTGTGTATTGTCATCACCGTTTTACTGTTCAAGTCTTTCTCCTTCTCCCATCCCCTTCCCTTCCTTTCCTTTCCTTTCCTTTCCTTCCTTCTTTCCTTCTTTCTTTCCATTCCCTTTACCCCTTTTTTCAAAACACATCCCTCGGACCCCTCCCTTTCCCCTCCACCCACAATATGCAACAAGAAACTTGCTCCACATGCCGTGCTCCCCATCTTCCTGTTCCTTGTAATAAGTCGTCTCGGGTTTGGTGGAGGAAGCTTAGGAAAGGGAAGGAATTAAATTGTTATTTCACCGCCTATACGGCAATATCCTTCTCTTCCATCCCATTCTCGTTTCCATTGTCCTAGTGCTCCGTATGATAATGTACGAAGTACGGAGTATTCCCCTCCATCCTTGCACCTTGAATTGAGGCTCCAACCAACCGGTACTTCCGCCCCGCTACGGATATCCTTCTGGATGTGATTGATAGGTGGGCCTGGAACAGATTCCGAAGCTCGAGAAGATTGAGGGGGCGGAAGAGGGGAATGAGGTTAACCTTACACCGCCCGGCAATAGGTATGGTTACACCGCTTCCTTTGCATATTTTACTTGGTATGTAATCTTACAGTATACATTTATTTACGTGCAACTCGAGGTCTTGATGTACAATAAGTACTGTGGATGAGAGATGATATGATCTGATATAATATGAAAATGATGTATACTAAACTCCACACTACATCTCTGCCCCTCCTCAAGCCCCTCCAGTCCATCCCAATTCCCTACCTCCAGAACATACCGGGAGCTAACAAACTCACCCAACCCAACTCAACTCAACTTCTTGTAAGAAGAAACGGTAAACAAATCATCCATTCTACATCCAAAGTTCCAAACCAATCTATTCTCACCGCATCATCCTCATCTGCGTCTATCGCACATACACCAGCCCCAAAGCAACCTCCGTAGCGCATCACAGCCCCACACATGCCATGTGTTTGTCGCTCCTTCTGCGTAGCCGATGCGCCCCACTCTTTCTGCGCGACGACGGGGTGCGAATCCATCCAGGAAGTCGTGGCGCACCACGTCAATTGTCTAGACGCGGCGAGTGTGACATGGCAATCGACGTGAGGTATGTTTCTGCTGGTTTTGATAGGTACTGTGTGTGTGGTTACTGCTCAGTACATATGTATGTATGTACAGTAGATCTCGAGTCGTTGAGCAGCCAGGTAAGCTCGTAGGTTTGTTATTTATTGTCTTGAAACTTAAACTAGTGGGATTTGGAGGAACGCATCGTGTGGTTAGAAGTGGGATGGTAAAAGCGGTTGAGCTTTTATTTTTGCTTTTGAGATGGATGGGGATGATTATGATGGATCTAAGATGCGGCTGGGCTAGGTGTGGTGCAGATGGGAATGTGAGTTCTGAGTGGTGCTTATCTGATGGAAATGCGTGGAAAAAAGTTGAGTGTCTTGAGTTTGGAAGTACTAAAGGTATACCAGGAGATCTTCTTTTCTTGTTGCTCATTTTTGTGCTTCTGATGTCTCGAGATGAAGGCTCTAGTCCGAGGAGGTTCAAGAACCAGTGTCCTAGTATTCAACATCAAATATCTTCGCGTCATATGTTGTTGTGATGAGAAATAATTGGTGATTTTGGGATAGTACAAGATTTTCATGGAAAGGCGATTCAGGCCTTTCCGGATGATTCCATGGTTGGTAGTGACCCGATTGGATTGATCTTCTTGGATTCCTTTTCTTTTGTCGACAAAAAGTGGTAGACTCTCAAGATTTGAATGTACACTGTGATTGGGAAGTCAAATCCCTCTCCATAGGGAATCCAACGGATGTACGGTTTTGAGGTTGCTAAGTGTCGATTGGTTCATGTACTGTACCCGCTGTTTATCTTTGCTTTCGTTCGTTTTCCTTGTGATCATGAGCTGCTTTATGTAAATCTTCAAGTTGATCCTTGGGGGAGTAACATTATGCTTAGTCCCAATTGTTGTGCAAAATTTAAGGATTGGAAAAGTTGGAGCTGGGGGTGAGGCCATGAGGGGTGATTGAGGGGTGCGGGGTACCATTGTTTTGGCTTGCTTCGGAATAAATGTGTGATTTACTTACACTCTTTATGTTCAGATTTCAGGGCAAGAAATAGAAGCTCAACATACTTGATCTGCTAGAATCTTTAGACAAGATCTCTAGATGCGATTGTCGCGTGAGTCAGAAGCGGCATGAACAACAAGCCGAAATATATTTGAGAGCAACACAGCCGATGCCATGAACTTCTTGAACCTGGTATTCATAGAAAGCGGAGGGCTTTATCTTTACTCATCCAATTTCTATCATCACAGGAATTTGGTTGTTCCTTCATCTCAACTAACGATCCAATGTTCGTTCTTCCCGGGCATTTAAACGTTGCGAGGAACCTCATATGACCTCCTTCACGAGCAAACATGCAATTAATTGAAGAGTTCACTATAGCAACATCTCACTTGCTATGAAACGCACACAGCTACTCAAAATGAAAACAGAGTTGGTGGGGTGCTGTTAACCCATACGGCAGATAGATTGTGTGCTACTGTATAGAAGGTGATTCATAACAAAAAATCCATGTTGTTAGGTATTCAAGCCAACTTACACATGTGAAGTTGAATTCAACGATCATTTCAGACATTCATAGCTTGTTATTACAAGCTGAAGAGAAGAGTATCTGTTTGAAGGAAGAATGGTTTGAAAATTTACATTGAGTCCTTATCCATTTCTAAACCGCATCACTTCAGCGAGGGAAGATATCTTCAAGTGTCATTCTTTGCTGTCTTGCCACTAGCATCCCGCGAGGACACTCATCTAACTTCCTTTCTCTTTTCCTTTCGGCCTTGGACGCTCGTCTGCGACTCAACAAAGCCTTTCCCTTTCTTGCGGGCGATATACCAAAAAAACCAGAACCTATTATCGAACTCCAAAAAATCAAAAAGGATATTACTGCGTCCCCCAAGTACCACATTCGTTATTTTCTACTTACAGACGACCTGGAGAAACATAGACCATACATTGAGATGTATCTAGGTGATAGTTTTGGTGAGCTAGAAGTTCAAGCTGCGGCTCATTGGAAAAAGGGACAAAAGCAGTGGTGGAGTATGGATAATATTACAGATGAAAGAGTGATTTGGAGATGTAGCAGTTGTCAATGTTCATATTTTGTTAGAGTATTGAGAGGAAGCGAAGAGTGAGTGGTGAAATGGAAGTTGGACACTTTGCCAGGAGTATGTATGTATTCAACAATTCAATATGTAGCCCAACTAACACCAAGACTTCGAATTCAGCTCGCCCGGGTGTCATTCTTCAAATACGTCGTTGACATAAGAAATAATGATATTCTCAGAGGTCACTTGACGCACCCTCCCCTTTCACAACTACTGTAGTGTTATCACTTGATACTTACGGCTCAGCAACTCAATGGATTGGGTACGAGCTGAAGCTTCCGTCGTGTTGTACTGATGGTTGATGAGCTTGTTCCAAAGGAGGCCGAAATTTTTGAGAGAATGGTGTAATTCTCATATAGAGCACATCCACAGCATATCCTGTTTATCACAAGCAGAACATTTTTCTGGTAGAGCAATCGAATAATAAACCTGGGTACACATCCTCAGGAATCACAATATCCATACATCTCCAAAGAGACAGACTGATATGTAACATTGAATGATGATTAATTGTGTGGTGATATTTGATATGTCAATGAAGTGTGATTTAAAACACCTACAGGGAGTTGAAGTAACTGTAGCGACCCACGATAAGCCCGATAACAGCCTGTCGCGCTAAAACATCAAACAATTGATGAAGAGCTCTTCTAAATATTCATACCTCCATCAACCATCCACATCATAATATTAAAAGTTTATAATGGGTAAAGGTTCGTCGCAATACGATTCAGAACTGGAGTACAAAAGCATACTGACATATATCTCTCATAGGCACGGACAAGCTATACGTGAGCTTTCACCAGTCCCAGAATGCGTACCAATTTCAGATTTTCCCATATGCTAATCATTACATGGCACTTAGATCACCCATTCTGAATGGTCATCCTCTGATGCATTCTCCGCGAGTAGCGGATCAAATGTTTCTCAGAAAGCTCCCAATGGCTCATTCAAGCGTCTTCCCTTTAACTTTTGTGCGGCCAGTTTACAACCATTCAAACATCCAGTCTGTACCGCAGAAGGTACTATATTCGATATAGAAATTATCTCACAATGGCTCGAGAAGCATGGCACAAATCCTATCAATGGAAATCCATTGAGTGCGAAAGATTTGATAAAATTGAACTTTGCGCGGAATGGAGACACTGATGCGCAAGAAAGAGGATCTGGTGGTGCTGGAGGGGATGGTAAAGGAGAAATGGTGGACCCAGTCACCTTCAAAGTTTTTACGGATAATACGCATATCGTCGCTATAAGGCATGGTACCGAGGCTAATGTTTTTGCTTGGGAAACTGTCGAAAGATTGAATATCAAGGCGAAGATGTGGTTAGATTTAGTCGATGACCGAGAATTTGGGAGGTCGGATATCATAACATTACAAGACCCGCAAAATATTGAAAGCCGAGATCTTAGCAAGTTCAAATTCTTGAAAGAAGGAGAACCTGTTTTGAGCAAAGAACAAGAGGAAGAAAGGTCGAAAGGTAGCGTCAATATTAATGCATTGGGCAGAGTTGGAGATAAAGTTTTGAGGGCAAAGGAAGCTGTCGAGAAAGCTAGAAGGGAAAGAGAGGCTGGTGGTGATGTTAATCGCACGAAATCAATGGTTAAACCAGGGTCAACAACTTCTACGGCGAAACCTTCATTATTACAAGAAAAGAAAATGGCATACAATGCAGCACAATATACAACAGGAAGAGCGGCAGCAAGTTTTACGAGTACGGGCTTGACTCCAGAAACCAGTGGAGAGAGGGCAATTCTCACGGATGAAGAATATATGTTAAAGCCGAAACGAGTCAAGATAAAGGGATATGCTAGGATCGAGACGAATTTGGGATCATTGAATATCGAACTACAAACCGAAACGGTACCTCGCGCAGTATGGAATTTTGTTCAATTGGCCAAAAAAGGTTACTATAATGGTGTATCATTTCATAGGAATATTCGAAATTTCATGATTCAAGGAGGTGATCCAACAGGAACTGGTAAAGGAGGTTCAAGTATTTGGGGAAAGGATTTTCAAGATGAATTCGATGGACCTTTAACTCATGATTCAAGGGGTGTAATGAGTATGGCCAACAAGGGAAAAAACACAAACTCGAGTCAATTCTTCATCACCTACAAAGAAGCTAAACATTTGGATCGGAAACACACCATTTTTGGCCGGGTAGTTGGTGGTATGGATGTACTCTCTAAACTCGAGAAAGTGGAAGTAGACGATAAGAGCCGTCCTATAAAAGATATCGTTATGGAAAATGTGGTAGTTTTCGTTGATCCATTTGAAGAATTCCAAAAACAGAAACAGGAGAAAGATGTTGCGGAGAGGGCAAAAGCGGAAATCATGAGGCAGGGAGGAACGGAAGATGATAAAACTACATGGACGGGTAAACGGATTAGGGGTGATGGAACCGTGGTACAAAATGAGGCGACGGGTGGAGTGGGGAAATATCTCAAAGCTGGTGGAACGGATAATAGTGTTGGAGTTGTGGAAGTGGACGAAGAGGAGGCGCCGGTTAAGAAGAAGATAAAATCGGGGGGATTCGGGAATTTTGATGCTTGGTAGTCATGGGAAGGGTGATTATGTTGATGGTTAATTTGACCCCTGAATTATATTTCTCGCGTATGGATCAGGGGAGACTTTCTACAATACAGGGAAAATAAACAATCATGCATGTTTCTCTTGGCCTAGACATCTGTGTAAATTACAAAGGGAATTCATGGAGTCTATGGGCCTCTTCAAGATAGTGTGTCAGTTGAGCAACTGCCGAAAGGCGGAAGCCGCAAAGAGTTCACGTGTGCGCTTGAATATCGATAAAAAAGCAAATATGTATTGCATGTCGGGGTCTATCTTCATAACACATCTACCGTAAGTTGTGTATGCCATTGTTTGAACCATTTTTCCACCCACCCAGCCATTTACCCATTCCCTCCCATGTATCGAGAGAATTACAAATGAAGAATCGTCCTTTAAGTTCTTAGATTCAAACGCCCTCGCTGTGTATTCTGATTTGAGCCCCTTCGAAAACGCCGTCCCACCATTTTTGTACAATTTCCCCGCCATCCATCTATCGCTTCATATGTGAGTAATCGTTCAACAAATGTGCCATGTGAGTATTTGTAGTACGACCACCCTTTCTTGGAGCCTTTCTCTTCTTTTCCTTTGCCTTTGGAGCTACCTTCACACGCTTACTTGGATCTTCACTGGCAGGCTTTTGTCCATTTTCGAGAAGCTTTCGAACAAGATCATCGACGCTTGGAAGTTCCGTTCGGTGCCACATGACTTGGAATTCGGATTCGACAGGGTGAATCAAGGTAGGATCATTGATCCAAATCATTCGTGCATGGTTATCCTTTTTTGTTCTCGTAACCAAAATCTTGTACTCCTTTTCCAACTCATTGATCGCATCTTCACAATCTGGCCAACCATCCTTCAAATCCTTAACACTAACGCCTTGAGCATCAGGTTTGTTTTGAAGATATGATAATAAGGCTCCCTTGTTACGAACACCAATGATGGGACGATGTTTGAATGTGCCAGAATCCCAAGCTTGTACCTTCAATTTAGGATCTGCGATCCATTGAACACGATCATGTCTTCTGAGAATTTGCGCAATGAGTTGTTTCTTACTCTGCTCGACGTGGACCTGACTCAAATATTCTAGAATTTCTTGGAAAGTTTTGGGTTCATCTTTCTTCTTCAAGAATTCGATAACGTAGGTGACTTGTGTAAATGCTTCTGTTCCATAGCCGGTGGCAGCAGGCTGAGAGTAAACGACATTCGTGGGTTCTCTCTTACGTTTAGGATCTTTGTTCTCGCTCTTCGATGTATTTGAGGTGTTTGATGGAGCGGGGGATGGTACTGAAACTGGTGCAGTAGGACGCTGCTTGCTTGTAATCTTAGACGAAGTATTTTGAATACCCTTTGCAAAGGCAGCTTGTTGCTTCTCAAGAAATGAAGACATAATGACGGTTAATGATATTGAAAGTAGTGAGATTGAAAGTCTTAAATAGATTCGAACCCGAAAGACCTTTTTGCGTCCAAGGCCTAATAGATGTTGTACAACCGTATAATGATTTTGAGGTCCAGATGACGTCGGTGCTTAAGGATTAGAAAGGCTGATGTCGACTACCACATGTATGCGACGGGTAAGGTCTGGACAATACAGTATGTATTCGAAATCGAGAGGTGTGGAGGGTTTGAGAAGAGTTGGCGCAACTTTCGATGGGAAGAGTTGAAATAAGACAAAGAAGTTATTCAGTGCCTTAAGACTCCATATTGTACGGTAGAGGAGGCTGAGAAATTACATGGGGGAATAATTTTTAGCGCATGTAGAACGTACAGGGCCCAAGCGTGCGCTAAAGACTCTCATCCATTCACGTTATTCAATTTTCCTAGGTTTGTACATATTAGTCAGCGCCTTCTCGTCCTGAAAGCAACATGGAAGCTAGCTTTCAAAGACTGATTGATTCTATTCAAGAAACTGACAACACCGCGATTTGACCATCGTAGGTATTCCAATACGGATTCTCACTAATATATTCATTCATTTCGAGATTTAGTATGGTCATACAATAGATGAAAGGAATTTCATAGATAAATCTAATATTGGCCACTGGGGTTTCTTTCAACTTTATTACTTACTTTTATCTACCTTCACTTTCTTGAAGCAACGCGATCAACACAAATTCTCAACCACTTATTTCAAATGGTCCTCTACAAAACACAACCACGAATCGTCTGAAGGAACTCTTTCAAGATGGCGACCGCGGTACTTGATGTCGATTATTTGTCGGCATATCTAAGTGTGCCGCAACAGACCCTTGAGACAGTTGTTGATAATCCTACAGCGGAATTGGTTAGAAGCGTCCTCGAAGCTGTTACTGCAAAGGCACGCGAGCATGATGAATTGGCGGCAGATAAATTACGAGTCGATATCGAGCTTGAAAATGCCGTGAGAAGTTCAGAGACGCGCATTGAAGGACTTCGATCAAGTGTAGAAAAGGCGCAGAAAACTGTGGAAGAGTTGAGAACAAAGCTCAATGAGGAGGGTAAGTTATTTGAATTTTATCGTGCTATATGGTGATGCTGATTTATATCTTTTTTTTAGAAAATTCAAGGTCATCTCTTCAAAATGAACTTCAAACCTTAAAATCTACTTCT